AGAGTAAACCCTTAAAAAAGGTTCGCTGATTGAATCAACGAATGGATATGCAAAACAGGCTTAGAAGGAGATTTTAAATGGTTAAGATTTAAAATAGCCTGAGGGAAGTAAACTGTGTATTTAAATCAAGATAAGGTATAACTGACAGATAATTGACCCTTAGCTAAAAAATATGTTGCTAGGAGACAGAAAGAAGAATGGTGGTTGCCAGGCGCTGGGGGTCATGGGGGATGGGAGTTAGTGTTTAATGGGTATGGAGTTTTAGTTCGGGAAGATGACAGAAGTTCTGGAGATGGATGGTGGTGGCGATCACACGATAACGTGGATGTACTTAATGCCACTGAACGGTATACTTACAAATGGTTAAAGTGGTACATTTTATGTTCTGTATATTTTACCACAGTGAAAAAAAATTAAGGAAAGGAGCATATCGCTTCATGGAGTGGTAGTTGTGAGAGGGTCAGCACAGAAAGGGAAAGGAAGAGCAAGATAGCCCTCAGCCACCGAAGCAGTCAGAGGGACCGTTGGCACGGGGGCCGAGCTGGGTAAAGAAAGGAGGATGGGACTTTGTGGTGAGGAAATACACTTGACCAAGCACTGAGCATGTTATCTCAATGCGGTAGGTGCTCGGTTAGTATTTTCCCGTAGATGAATTCTGATTGAATGGATGAAGTCACGACCTGGCCCAGGATTTGGCCCTGTCTTTTTTTAGGCCAGAAACAGGTCTGGGCTGGCTGCCCCATTTAGTCACTGCTTTCGTCTTTGCTGATTTCCTACTTACTGCCTCTTTTTAGATTTAACAATTTAGTGAGTTCAGCTCATGTGCTTGCAGTCAACCGGGCCTACAATGAGAATGATGTGATCCTAATGAAATCCAAACTTAACATCATCCTAAAGTTGTACCTGCAGTCAGAAGTCCCTCCGAAGCTGAGGGTAAGGGGGACTGCTACCCCTCTCTGGTCTTGTGTCAAGAAGCTAACTGTCAGGCACCTCCTAAGACCTGGGTCAGCCAGATGTCCTTTACCTAACAGCCCCACAAACAGCTTCTGCCTTCTGGGGAGGGTGGTCTTAAAGGTCCTGGGGGCCAGGAGAGGTTTTCTGTTCACCTACCCACAGAATGGGAGCCTCCACCACTGAAAGGCTCCCATTCTGTGGGTAGGTGAACATCTCTGAGTCCCAGAAGGACTCCATCATTGGTGCCATCACAGAAGGCCACTTGGACCGGAACATCTTCCACGGGGCGATCATGTCTCTCTTCCCCCTCATCATGTACTTCTGGAAAAGGTAACTCTCTCCCCTCATCCGAGGACCGTGAGGTCAGGAGAACAGGTTTGTCTTTCTAGAGAGTTTTCTGTCTCCCTGTCCCCCTCCAATTCACCATTTCCAGGTTCATGGGAATGAAGATGGTGTATCCTTCTTCTACATGCTATACTCCATCGCTCACACTCTCACACTGAATGCTGAATCAGAGGACGGAAAGCCAAGTGAGACTGGGATCAGAATGCCTGGCTCCCACCTCTCCCCTGTGCTTGCTTGGAATAAAGGTGTTGGGTTTTCTTAGATGTAGGTTCCTCACCAAAGGGCGATGGTGGACCACAGCTACTTGGGAGAAATTCTGTTCAGGTCACACAACTGTGCTTGTGCTTCAGGAGCCTCATGGGGACAGTAAGCCAGGAGTCTTTTGCTCTGTTATGTCCAAACCCCAACATTACCTGTAGGGGCATAGTTGCTAGATATTTCGATTTTCAAGAGGAACTAGAGATTCTGATTTTTATGTCCTGTCTCCCAAAGTTAAAGTAGCAAATATGGCAAGTAACTCAAAAAAAATTAAAACATGGTGAGGAAACCGTGAAGGCCAAAAAACACAAAAATGAAATGCGCAAAATTTCTGCAGGACAAATGTGGTTATTCATTCCCGTGGTCCACTGTGGCCCCAACTCAGACCTTCCACATGATACCTAGCAGTGCCCTGGGTGACAGTGACCACAGGACAACTGGCTGAAATGGTCCCAGACGAAGCTAATTGGGATGTTGAGATTATTATTGTGATTCCAGCTCTTAGGGGTGTCCCTCTACCATACAAACACACACACACAAGTTACTTTATTAAAACAGAAGTGTAAAGATTGCTTACCAATCACCAACCTTTATCTTTTTTTAAAAAAAATTATTTATTTAAATTAGTTTCAAGTATACAGTACATTGATTAGGCATCTATACAGTTCATAAAATGATCCCCCCCAATTGCTCCCTCCCTCCCCTGGCCCTCTACCTAGCCATCATATTAATGCTGACTGCATTCCCTCTGCCGTGCTCCCCATCCCTGTGACCAACTATCGACTACCAATTTGTACTTCTTTAACCCTTCGCCCCATTCTCCCAGCCCCCGACCCCCCTCCCCTCTGTCCGTTAACCAAATTGTCCACTATATTTGTGAGTTTGTTTTTGATAAGTTTGTTCTTTTTGTTTCTTAGATTCCACATATAAGTGAAATCATATGGTATTTATCTTTCTCTTTCTGACTTATTTCACTCAGCATAATAACCAATAGATCCATCCATGCTATTGCAAATGGTAGGATTTCATTTTTTTTAATGGCTGAGTAATATTCTATTGTATATATGAACCATAATGTCTATATCCAGTAGTCTGTAGATGGGCATTTAGGTTGCTTCCATATCTTGGCTATTGTAAATTGTGCCGCCATGAATGCTGGGGTGCATAGATCTTTATGACTTATTGTTTTGGTTTACTTTGGATAAGTACCCAGAAGTGTAATTGCTGGGTCAAAAGGTAGATCCATTTTTAATATTTTGAGAAACCTCCAGACTGTTTTCCACAGTGGCTGTAGCAATTTGCAATCCCACCAGCCGTGTGCAAGGGTTCCCTTTTCTCCTCACCAACACCTGTTGTTTTTCGATTTATTGATGATAGGCATTCTGACAGGTGTGAGGTGATATCTCACTGTGGTTTTAATTTGCATTTCTCTGATGATTAGCGACCTTGAACATCTTTCATATCTTTAAATCCCTACGATAATAAGTTATTTAATACGGGATTGAAAGAAATATTTTTAAAAACCTAAGTTGAAGGTCACCAGTTTAGCGTTTTGAATGCCAGTTGTTATCTAGCACTCAATTCAAGACTTGATTCGAGTTCTGCTAATCAGGACTAAAAAGAATTTCATCCTGAAACTTTCTGGAGGTTCAGAACCGCCTGGGGAATACATGCTGCTGCTGGCTCGAGTGAGTGCTCAGCTCTCCCTCATCCCTGTTGAGGAAGAATAGGGGTGCCTCGGGAAGGCTTTGAATCCTAATCCTCATACTGCTGGTTCTTTACTTGCTTTGCTGTCTACTTATGAAGAGTTTTATTTCTGCAAACTGTGTCCACATCTATTATCTCGGGTGAACCTCTCAACAACCCTATGAGGTGGGCGGCACAGAGAATTATTACCCTACTTACTAGACGAGGAAACTGAGGTTCAGAGTGGTTAAGGAACTTGCCAAGGTAGGTGGTAAAACCAGGGTTAGAAACCAGGTCTCTCAGTCTCTTAAGCACCATAAAGAACGCAGCCATGACATATTAGGAGGTCCGTGACGGGAGGGAGACCTGGTTCAGCGTGTGGGGTGGGAGAGACCAACTGTGATGAGACACGATGTCCCTCGGGGAGGAGGAAGGAGAGCAGCAGCCAGGACCACCAGAGCCAAGGCAGGATAGAAAATAAATCCAGTCTTAGCCAAGACCAGCCTCCGAGGGGTCCAATCCCAGGGCAGGCTGAGGAAGCAAGAGGCTGGGGGCCAGGGAGGAAGAGATGGCGAGGGCTGTGAGGGCTTCCGGGGAGCAGCAGGTCTCAGGTTGGAGTGAGCAGGCGAGTCTGAGACCATGTGAGGGGCCAGGGTCCACTCCAGGGAAAGGGTTGATGTGAATGAGGGAGGGGTCAAGGCCCTTAGTAAGGGATAGGATGGAAACCAGTGATCGGGCCTTGAGGGGGCCAGTCAGACGCTCTGGCTGCACCAAGCGCAGTTAGATAGAGAGCTCAGGGTCTGACACTCAGGCGAGCACCTCAGGGTGGGGTACAGCAGATTCTTGACAGACTCCATTCACTGGTGGTTCCAGAAGGAAGTCCCAACATACTGCCCATGCCAGGCCCTCACCGGAACCAGGCCTGGGCAAAGAGGAGGCCTCAGGAGAAGGGCCTCTGACAGGCGGCCCTCTGAGGCCAGGTGCTCTCCTCATCCCTGTTGGACACCCCACCCTCTGTGAGGACTGGTCCCTGTGCTCAGTGTTCCAGCCCCCTCGACTGGCGGTTTCTCCTTGTGACCAGGAGCCATTCTTCTCGCAGGTTTTGTAGCTGGAAGGCAAACCACTCTTACTTCCAGTACAGGGGGAAGAAGTTCAAGGACAGAAAATCTTCTCCTAAACTGGTATACAAGTACCCTCCTGGCAGTGGAGGTAAGCTGCACCATGACCCTCGTTCTCTAACAAACGAGACCCGCGAAGGAAAAGCAAGGGACCGAAAGGCCGACGGTAAGACTTCGCGGAGGGCGTTCACGGGAGGGATGGGCATCTAATTCACTTGGCCCTCAGAGAAGCATTAAGGTCTATTTTATCTGCAGCTGTCAGTGCTGGCAACAGGGTACCCCACCCCTGGATGTCGCCCCAGTAGTACCTCCCAGGATGCCTCTGGCATGGATGCCATCATCTCTGTGTTTAAAAGCCCCTGCTCCAACGAGCTCCATAAACCCTACCATCAGAATGACATCTATGTTCCATAAGTGAGAAAATTAAAAAGTGGATGTAGAATATGATATTAATGTGGTAAATATATATATGCATGTATATCTTTATGCATATGTATAATTTTTTCAAAGCATGGGGAAAGAATTAGAAATAAAGATAGAGTATTAATAAGACTATCCCTGAGTGGTGTGATTGTGAGAGATTTATATACCATTAATATGTTATTTATATTATGTTAATACATGTTACTTATATTAAACATTATCCATATATTTATAAATATATGTGTATGTTTGAAAAGTCACACATATATTTCCTTGGCATATTCAGAGCAGTTGCACCCAGGCCGTTTCCCAGCACCTGCGCTGAGAACAGTACTTGAGTGAAAGGGAATTTTACAGACAAGGGAGGAGGGTGCACAGGGCCATGGCTGGTAAGGGTACGGCTGGGTGTCTCCGATGTGGAAAGTTCTGGGAACCAAAGAGCACAGGTCTGTGAACCTGGGAACGGTACCAGCATCAAAACAAACTATAGAGACAGGACAGGAGTCTTAAAAACAGCAGCCAACTGTCCCACGATGGAGCTCAGCGTTCTGTTGTTTTAGCTCGTTCCAGCCCAATTCTCACATCCATTTCTCCAGATGCTCACCCCTGCCCCTACTCCAGCCCTCACAAACAAGCATGCCACCTCCTTCTTGGAGGTGGGCCCTGGAGACCTAAGTCCGTCTCTGGCTCCTAGCCCCCTGAGAGCGTCCTCATCTCAGTAGGAAACAGATCACTCATGTCCCTGGTTGCAGCGGACCCGAGGCTCAAGGAACATGGCTGGTTATCTTTGTCTCTGCCTTGTGAAGTGTCACATCAGCAGACAGAAATCAGCAGCCTTTTCAGTGTGTGGGCCACGGGTGCAAGTGCTTATTTAGGATGAAGGCGGGGGTAGGAGGAGAGAAGGGGAACAGTAAGAGGAAAAAGAGAAGGAGGTGGGCCGGCAGGGCAGGCAAATGGAACCCCCTCCGAGGAGCACCCCGTGGTAGCCAGAGAGCCCCCAGCCTTTGGCTCATTTCCTACGCCGAGCTCTAGGGAAGCACATCCCCAAATCTCTCCTGGTGTCAGGAGTTGCAAGAGGGCAGCGGGACTCCCTGAATTAAGACGTCAGGCCACTTGAGTTCTAGGCCTGTAGAGTCTTGTGTGTGAGCTGAGAGACCTTGAGCATGTTGCTTCCCCTCTTGTGACCTCAGACCCCAGATCTCAAATACAGAGGTTTGGATTTAGGTAATGTTCTGTCGTGAACAGGAGACTTCTTGCTTACTTAGAAAGATATATTTTGTCTGGTGTTGCCGTAAGGGCTTTTAATGCTCTCCCTTTTCCCTTCCCCAGGAGACCATGCCATCTTAAGATTCTCCTTGCTCAAAGGTATTGAATGGTTATGGCCTCAACAGCGGGATGTAGTAGCAAGTTCAGTCCAGAATTGTGAGTAAGAGTTGGTAGCCCCACTGATATCAAAAGTCCATTACTCAATTAGAGTGTGACCCTAAAGCCAGCTTGGCCAGTCTCCTCACTGATCAGGAGGAAACTGAGATCCCCAAATGTGAAGTGACTTGCTCAAAATCACACAGCTTGCGAGTGGCAGGGATGGGGCGCGTAGCAGGTCTCCTGACTGTCCTTGCAGGGGTCTGTGCCCAGCTCTCATTAGCATAATCGTATCTTCTTGATTCTTTTATAGCCCCTTGAAAGTGGGTACCTTAAACTTCTCTACATCTCTGCCATCTCCTCTGCCCATTTCCAGGTGTGCTGTATGATCCTTACTAAGGGACAATCAGAACATCTCGGTTGTCACTTTCTCCTCCCAGTGAGAGCACCTGCTGGCTTGAACAGGACCTCCATCCCATACTCCTGCTTCCTGGAGGCTCCTGCTACTGATCTCATCCCTGTAATGAATACTCCGGTCCTAGCCTCCCCTACCGGGGCCATGTTATATCCTTCTTATTCCCCATCTTCAGCCTCTAGGAGTCAAGCCCACACTCAAACATTAAAGCTGCCTCGTTTCTGCACAGTCTCTCTTTACAAGCCTATCCTTTCTGTTCCATTGTCACTTTCAATTTCCACATTAGGGACACTGCTTCTCTGAAACGCCAGCTTGCCCGGGTTGCCCATTTGCCTATGTCCCCGCGTTGCTTAATGAGGAGGCCATTATGGAACGTTGCCCACGATCCTTAGGGTCCAAACAGCCCCAGAGTCTGGCGATTTGAGTGTTCATCCAATCTAGTCTTTTTATTTTACTCCCCTGGGTCAGTGGGGTTGGCATCATGACCTTTGCAACCAGACGAAATGTCTTCTAGGACAAAAAATGTTGTAGCGTGAAAACCAGCACAGTGACTGTCCCTGGAGCATCGTCGCTTCTCCTTCACTTTCCCAATTAAGGAACTGGGAAAGCTGTCCTGGCGTGGCACCCCCCGGGGCTGGATAGCCGCCAGTGAGTGTCTGTGCCCTGAGTTCTGATGCAGTTTTTCTCTCTATCTGTCTTTAGCTTCATCGGGAAATCCCAGCCAGGACATTCCCTCTCTGCCATGCAGCTGTGTCCTGTCCCAGGGTAGGCATGAGCCAGGAAGTCTCTTCTTCAGCCAAGGGTACCATGGCAGATAGGGGAGAAACTCCCCAGAGAACTAGCTCCACCTCCTGATACTGCTTGGCATATAGACCCAAGAAGTTGAACTTGCTGCTAACAGAGAGGCCTGAAGTGGGGGTGGTTTCTCTATGGGTGTCCTCGCTTACCACTATCAGGACAAGCATTTTTAGGAAGTTGAAGCCCCTGACCCACCTTCCAGTAGAACACCAATGCTGAAGGAAGGGCGTCCCAGATGGTCTTTCATTGCTTGCTTCACTGACCTTCCAGCCCTTCAGGCTCAGGTGCAGATGGGATGGGAAGAAAGAAGAGGTGTCCTTCCATTTGGCAGGATATTGGCAATAAGAACAGAAAAGATTTGAACCTGTCAAAATCTGATTCAGCCTAACTCACTTCTATACAAGCCTCAAAGTGGGACTGATGCTAAGTTAGGGCTCTAGGAGAATCCCAAGGGGGTCATGGAAACCACAACTGAGCAGTGCTGAAGAGCTGCTTTTGAAGGTCAAGGTTATAGACAGCAAGCTCTGTGAATGGTGGGCCTGGTTTGCTCACCAGCCATCCTACCTTCTCAGACCTGCTGCAAGTCTACCAGGAGCTTGGAACTTTCCAAGTATCACTGGCCAGTGCTGGCACCTGGTAGACAAGCCAGGTACTTTGGAGCTCTTGGAAGGGAAAGGCAATGCATAGCTTCAGAGGATGCGAACCCGACCCTGAAGGTGAAGGGTTTCGGTTTTGGCTGTTGCCATTTCTAAAGTGAATGACAGCAACGGACCAGCAGAGAGTACACCAGTTATGTCATCGCCACTGCGACAACTGGCCCTCTTCCCTCTTCCTTCAGCCAAAAATTACCCGGCACCAAAAAGGAGAAGAAGTAATCCAGTCAGGCTCCTCGCAGAGGTGCATTGTCTCCCAGAAGCCTCCTGACACTGACAGCAGCGTTTCTGGCCATCTGCCCTGGAAAGATCAGTGAGTGACAGCCCAGACATGGTAGGACCAGAACGCAGTGGGTAAGATGTAGCAGAGAACACGAGAGGAAGCACCTCTGCCCTCCCTGACCCTGGGGCCCTGTCAGGGATGGCCTTTCCACAGTAGATGTGTAACAGAACACCCCGCTCTTGGGGGCAGGACACCTGATTCTAGTCTCACCCTGTAGCTGCATGGCCTTGAGAATCCCTGACTCCTGACTGTTGAAGCATCCTGAAACAATGCATGTAGATGGCATTAAATATACTAGGGAGCAAGGTGCTCTTTTTATCAGTGGAATGGGGTCTTTTAATGCTAGGATCTCCCATTGGGGCAATAACTTATATCGATCGTCTCAGCAAATTCTCAGAACCCTGTGAGTAACCATGTCAGAAATCATTTATTTTTAAACAGCTGAAGAAACTGACACATGCAGAAGGTAAGTGATTTTCCCGAGATCACTAGATAGTAAATGGCAGAGTCTGGACAAAACACACCGCCTCTGAATCTTTGGCTACTTCTCGTTTTGTGGTCACTGTCTATGCGACTTTTTATGCACGAAAGAAATCGTTCTTCCCTGGATTCTATTCATTTGCCAATTAATAGATGAAGAGACTCTTTGGAAAATTTTTGGCCTAAAGGCCTAAATTATTGTCATAGTTTAGCATGACCAACCCCATTTCCTGTCTTTTGAAGAAAATCAGGAGTAAAATGAAAGTCAGAATGTCCTGACAAGCCCTTCACCTGGGAAAATTGAAGAGAGGTTGACTCTCTGAGTTACAGAACAAGGAAAAACAAAAAGCTTTTTGAAGATTCCTTTCAAATTCTCAGCCATTGTTTTCTGCTATGCTGATGTCCTTTGTTTCTTAGACTTTTCTCAAGTATGAAAAATGTCGTGATGTCACGACAGGGCTCACAAACAAGGACTTTGAGATCATCTGTGTGGGGCTGTGATTGTGATAGATCCATCAGCACCATAGGCGGACGTGACTGGAGGAGGACTGGGTGCGGGCAGGGTGTGGAGAGCCTGTCAGGCCACGAGGAGGAGGCCCAGTGAGGCAAGCACTCAGCACAAAGAGGGCCCAGGAGAGGGGAGTGAGGCCAGGGCTCCAGAACTGGACTTTAATTAACTGGAAGAGGAGAGGACCTGAGACAGAATCCCAGTTCCTAAAAATCAGGCAAAAAACTAGGGCAAGATGCCAGACAAAGAATGGAGAAGAGCCCCCGTACTAGAACTGAGACACCAGGGACGTGCTTGGTCAAAAAGGAACGGGTCAGGAGCCCACACGTGGAACCAGAGAGAACGTTAGGCCGGCAGCAAGGTGATTGATGAGTAAAATACTGACTGAGTCTCGTGCCTAAATACCCTCGCACCAGGCTGAGGCAAGCCTGAACCTAGGTTGGCAGTAGGTCGTCCCCCCTGGAGGAGAAGAGAGATTGTTCAGTGGACTGTGCCCATTTCCGAGTTCTCTCTCTCTGCGGGATCACTCCTGAGTAGACTCATGTGCAGGTATGCAAGCACATACAACATGGTATTTAAACGGCCTCAAGGCACTTAGTAGGATCACCCTGAATAGAAGAAAGTTCCGCTTTTTTATTCAGTCTTGCTAATTGCTTCCTTTGGTTTCTCATACTGTCACACCTCAGAGATCTCAGATGTAGCACGTTCTAACACCAGATCTAGACCAGTGTCACAAAATGACCTATAAAATGCAGGAAGGTAATAAAAGTGAGTAGAACAACCCACGAGGGAGAGAACAGGGAGTGGTAGAGACTGGCAAACTGGAGAACACATCTCAAAGGGGACAGTGACAGCACCAGCCAGCCAGGCAACCCAGAGTTACCAGACCTGCTTACTTAGGCAAAAAGGAAAGAAAAGGAAGAAAAGAGGGAGAGAAAAGGGAAAAAGAATGAGAAATTTCAAGTTTCTGTAATACTATGCAGGTCAAACAAAACTAGCAATTAGCCAGAATAGAGGATGGCCCTATTCATCCTCTGTGAGCCTCACATCCTCTTCTTAAAGGAATGGCTCAGAGAAGCAATATGTCGCTCCCCAGAGGGCTCCTGAGGTCGTTTCCAATTCAAGAGATTAGCGGAAATATTACTTACCATCATGGATCAAGACCAAGGGCCAGTTGGTCTCATTCAGAGACTTTGACACATAGGCCGTCCCCTGACCAAGAGTCTAGGCCAGGAGGCCCTGCTGCCGTTCCTTCAGAGCCCAGGTTTTCCTCGAGACGAGCTGGTTTTAAATCCCTCCTCCACTCCCTAGTAACTCTGTGATCATCAGCAAATTACCTGACCTCACTGAGTCCCAACACCCTGTGTGTGAAATGGAGATGACAATGTCTACCTCCCACGGTTGTTTGGAGACTGACTCGAGATGATGTAGGCCAGGTGCACAGCACGGGGCCAGGCACAGAGTTGGGGAGTGAGGACATTAAGTGCTGCCCCTCTTTCCACCTTTTCTCTAAACTTCCCAAAACACGAAGGAAGTGCTTGATCAGGAGTGGTGTAGCTGAAGAGTTCATTCCCAAGGAAATTCTGAATGAAGTTCTTCCAACAAGATAGATGATCCGTGGGGGGCGGGGGAGGGCTTGAGTGGCCATCCACACATCTATTTAATTCCTATTGTATACGTAGGCATTTGGAGGATTTCTATATGGTGTATATTTACGATTAATAGGAGGTAAAAAGATTTTGTCCTGTGCTCATTACATGCACTCCCTGAGCTCCTTGCTTGCATGGTTTCTGAGAAGTCAAATGTTACTTTTATCTTTGCTCCTCTGTAGATAAAGTGTTTTATTCCTCTGGCTTCTTTCGGAAACCTTTGTCTTTGATATTCTGCACTTTGAATAGGATTTATCGGTTATTCTTGGTGTTCTCTAAGCTCCCTGAGTCTGTGGTTTGGTGTCTAACATTAATTTGGAGAAATTTTCAGTCGATATTGCTTCATATATTTCTTTTGTTCCTTTTTTCTCTTTCTGGTTTTCACAATAATGAATAACCTTCCAAAACATAAATTATCAGGCCCAGTCAGGTGTACTGTTGAATTCTACCAAACATTTAGGGAGGAAATTATACAAGTTCTCTACAATGTCTCTTAGAGGGTAAAAGCAGAGGGAATGCTTCTTAACTCCTTCTGTGAGACCAGCTTTACTCTAATACCAGAACCAGACAAAGATATTACAAGAAAAGAAAACCACATTCCTTAAATGTTTGGTAGAATTCAACAGTAAATTCATCTGGGCCTTATGATTTTTGTTTTGAAAATTTATTAATTATTGATTCAATTTTTTTTTTTAGTGGTTATAGGCCTATTTAGATGGTCTGTTTTCTCTTGTGTGAATACCGGCAAATTGTCTTACAAAGAATTGGTCCATTCCATCTAGGTTATCAAATTTGTGGCACAGAGTCGTTCATAGTATTCCTTTATTATTGTTTTAATATCCATGGGACCAGGGTAATTTGAGCATATACTTTTTTTTGTTATAAATACGTGAGAAATACTGGGCACAGTGCCACGAACTGCCACCTCAGCTATGCAACTCATCCCTCACAGGCAACCGGATTAGTGAAGGGGCCCGGAGAGTTCTGACTTGCTCAGGAGTGCATACTAATAAGGACCTCCCTGACCTCAGAAGGCTCGGTTATCACTCAGAGCCGGCCAGCCTTCTGGTCACTGCTGGCCCCATCATACCAAGCCTTGTTTGTGTTGTGCGTTTTGGGGAAATGTCTTCCATATTCTGTGTCTCGTAGTTGCACATAGACGTGGATGACCAGATCAGGGAATTTCTTCTGAAAGTACTGGGCAGGGTCTCCAATTATTGACTTCATCCTGAAATGAAACGGAAATAATTATAGCATGCCGGCCCCCAAATTCTTCCCCTTTTACAGCCTATGGCCCAGAGATGGCCTTGCTTCCCTGATTTCTACAGCAGGGTGAATAAGGACTCGGGGCTCTGACAGAGTAAGAGTCGCCTCCTGTCTCTTCCACTAACTTGTGAACTTTGGTGACGTGGTCTTTGTAAACCTCAGCTTTATCATCCATAAAACAGACATCGTACGATTCTACAATCCCTTCTCTACGTTTCCAAACTACAAAAGACCTAACGTTTTTGGCAGCAAAAGCTGATTTAACTAACATGGGGCTAATTTTTAGACTCTTTTAATGTTACATTCTTTTTCTCAGCTGCCTGGTCCCGTGTTTCTCCACACAAGGGAGTCACTAGCCTTCTGTACAGTGAGACTCAGCAAAAGCTAAAAAGAAAGACAAGAGCTGGGTGTACACCTCCATCATTCACTGTAAGACCCTTGCGATGGCCCTTTTCTGAGCAGAGGGGAGGAATGACATTTTTTTTTTCATCAACATATTTTTTCTGTTTCCCATCAAATAGCAGATATATATTCAGAATTGGATTTTTAAGTCATCCTCATTTCATATATGACTTACAAGAATGAAAACAATACTTACACTTTATTCTTTTCTTCATTAACGTGTTCTCCCAAATTCCGGATGAATTTCAGCAGGTCACCCACAGTGTTCTGATAGAAATTACGGCTTTTTACGTAATGATTATTCATTTCTTTCATAATGTAGCTGTCAATCTAAACAACAAAACATCATACGAAAATGTGATAACAGTGCAAAATAAATCCGTGTGGAATACAACAAGGCAAAATACGAATTTGAATATATGTTACAATTACTACCAATTAAAAAAGGGAATTAACAGAAAAGAATGGGAGAAAATACTGCACACCAAAATGCTAACTGTAGTTGTGTTTTGATGTGGGATTATAAGTAACTTTAAATTTGATATACAAGTGAATTACTTTTCTAAGAAATTCAATATATTAAAACATGTTTTAGAAAATCTTTGGCTATTCTACTAGGAAATTTGCTTATTATGCTTTACAGTATTTTGATCCTTGTGGCCACCCTTCCAAATTCGTACTTGATTACATTTCCCCCAGACTGAAAGCAAGCCTGGCAGACATTGCCAGAGTGTGCGTGGGTGTCTTCTTTTCTTGTCTTTCTTTTCCGTCATATTTCCAAAGTTAAATTTTGTCCTTGCCTCTAGATGTCCCCAGGGAACTTCTGTCATTAATGCCTTCCTCTTTGCGCTGGCACTTTTGTAGATGGCTCTCATATTTAGAAACAGTTTGGAGTAAGAGCACATGAGGCAACAACCATAAAGCCTGAGAGTCCCTCAGGAAGAGTGACTGGTGACTGGACGAGGACAGTAAACACCCATCCAGACGGCCTGTGTGTACTGTGTGAAAGCACATGTGGGAAGTGCTGAGTAAGGTATCAGTGGCAGGAGGGGACAGCCCATGGACAGAAGACAGTAGTACACACTGGAAAACTTGGCTCTGGACCCGAGGGCCCCAAACTGATCGTATGGTCATGAAAATGGGCAAATCACGAAAATCCACAGAAAGACAAGGTCTAAAATGGGATTCAAAAGATAGGACTTGAAGTCAGTCAAAATTCAATATAAGTCGATGATGTTTAAGGGGGGGGGGAGCGGGGGACAATGAATTGGGAAACAAAAGACTAGGATTCTCTTCCTAACTCGGCCAATCTCTGACTTTCCAGTTCTGGGTATTTTGGTTTCCACCTCTGAGCCTCAATTTCCTCAGTATTAAATGAATTAGTAGATTTTATGGCATCATAGCTCGTGCAGTGTGTGTGGCTTTAGCACATGGTCTCTGTCGCCAGGCTGTGAGCTTCGAATCCTGCTGCACCCCTTACTGGCCCTGTGCCTTTGGAAAAATGATTTGTCTGTGTCTCAGTTTGCCCACCTGCAAAATGGAGATAATTGCCTCAGAGGCTGTTATATGGATTAACCGTGGGGACTCATGTTAAGTCCTGAGAAGTACAGCTACCAGATAGTCAACACTACATCATCATCATATCATCAGCTCTGATTTCAAATTTCTCTGTTTCTACAAGTTTAAGTTTTAGCTGAAGTTTTAGAAACATTCATTTGGCAAAGAACTATGGCATACCTACTCCATCCATGCCAGGAAAAGAATAACAGACAAGGCAATGGACGGTCTCTGCCTTCAAGCAGGAAAGGTGGACATTAAGCCATCAATTATGGGTGTGACATGTAGTCCAGAGAAAAGCAATGGAAAGAAAGTAAAACAAGACCCAGAAACAAAGAGTTATGGGAGGAGCAGAATCCCAGATCAGGCCTCCGATAGGGAAGCTGTCGGTCTCTGTTGAAGACCTGAGGGTTAGGGATTTTCCCATAGTGCTTTGCACCTGCCTCTGGGCACCCCACATGTATTACACAGCCATCGTTTCTGTGGGTCTCCTGGCCCCACATGGCCATACTGTACTCTGCTTTGTATACCCGTGGCCTCACATGGGCCTGGCACATACCTGGCACCTGGCAGATGTCTGCTAATTAATAATAACGAAAGTTCATATAGTATGACTAGACCAAGACAGTGACTAATTTATTATGTTCCACTACAGTTAGTTCAGGTTAGGTGGATCTTTTCTTAAAGAGGAGGAATTTGAAAGACATCTCTTCCTCATTGTCTGTTTTCTCAGCCAGAACGTGGGTGTGTTGCATGGACGCTCAAAGCTGGACCATTCATGGGCAGCGGAGGCCCTGGATGGAGTCGCCTCGTGGTGGTGCTCCTTTGGGCTGAGCTCTGTTTAGGCAGCTGCTCTCATCACAATGTAATAGTAGGCCTTTCTCAGAGAATAAGTCTCGAGGGAA